ATTACTCCAATCTATCTTGATTCAATATTGATAATAAGGAGTCTGCATCTAAAGATAATATCTTAAGTGACTCCATTGCTCCTTTGGAAATTTAAGGCTATCATAGAATCTATGTTAAAGGACAATTCTATGAGAAACCTTTTATTTCTTCTCCTGTTTATGGAAATATCGTGACAGCGTTGTAAACTTATTTTCTGCCAATCTCTAATAACAAACACTATATGAATTTATGTTTGTCAAATTTCAAAGTCAAAAAATTTAATCCAAGACAATAAAATCAAAGACTCTGCTAAGAACAAGATTTTGTTAGTGTCATTACTCATCCTAAATTCATACTCTGGAATGAATCATGGTATTGCTATCAGGTTGGGGAATAAAGCAAGAGAAAGCCTATTAAGACTAACATTTCTGGACTCATAGAAATATGAGTACCAATATTCAAATCTGTATTTGTTGTAGATATGACAGAAGAAAGGAGCAAGGCATCTTTCATGGTACTTGATCAAAGGTTGTTTACAATATTTGATGGAAGAAAAGCCAACATCCCAGACTCAAGTGCTAAAAGATTAAATTTTAGTGGATAGATTGGAATCATTGGTTTAAAAGCCAATAAATTAAAATCCACTCAAGACAGTATTCAGATTCCATGGTCAGATCTGAATACTCATCTAGAGCATGACCAAGAAAATAAAAAAAAAGTATGTTATGTTCTTTCCTTATAAATTTCTTGACTCAATGAAATATTTATGTATAAGTAAATACAAATTCTCTGTTAGATCTATAGAGAAATTCTTTTACGAATCTTCAAAGGCCTTTAAAAAGAAACTTCATTAAATTGATTATCATTTGGTGGATTCATGGAATCTTAGCAGGGAAGTCTTGGACCGAGGATCTGATCAGAAGTCTTGAGCCTGAGGGGCTTGAGCAAGGAAGTCTTGGGTTCATGGAACCTAAGAAGAAGTCTTGGATCTGAGGGGTTTAAGCAAGAAGTCTCGGGCTGAGGGTCTGATTAAAGAAAAAGTCTTATGCTTAAGTGTATAAGCGATTGTAATCATGTTTTAGTTATAGTGAAAATCTCTTGTACTGCAAGGGGAATAGACTACTCTCATTTGGGAGGAACCAATATAAAACTTTGTATGTTCTTTATCTTTTATTTTCTTATGTTAACATTCCACTGCAATGTATAATCAGAATTTGAACATCCGTTTAGATTTTGAACTTTTATCAGAGGCAGAGTTAAGAAACGGAAAACACAATTCAACCTCCCTTCTTATGTATTTTCCTTACCTTCATCCTGCTCCTTTAATGATTCTTAGATTGAAAAGGTTCATCTCTTCTCTTTGTGTTCGCATTTGGATCGGAAGCGCGAGCCCTTTGGGATACGGTTTACTGAATGGTGTTGACTCACCGAGGTGTGTGGTAAAGTATTTCTTCCAGTCTAAGTAACCTTTCTTATATAAATTATAAATTTTATTGTCCAACAATGTTACACATGTCGTTCAGTAACCTGTTAATGCCTTGTAATTCAATGTTAGCTCGTAGTAACTAGAATTTGGGTAAGGCTTTAAGCTGTGAGACTAGAGGTGGAATTGGAGAAGCAATCTGAGGAGCTTGAAGATATCTAGAGATCTGAAGGAACTGGATCAAATCTGGATGTAACAGAACTTTCTCTTTAGGTATCGCAACGTTATACTAATGAGGTGGAGAATATATGGTTAATTGACGGATGCTTGAGCGGAAGAGCGACTTCTTACGCAGCGGCAGAGGGAGTAACTTTAAAACCTGCCATCACTTGAGAGCGTACGAGTCAGAGGTCTAGGAATTTAGATAATCAGAGTAAAGGTGATTCTTGATGAAATTGAATGAGATTGATCTTTGTGTTCAATTTTTGAGGCTCTTAGTTCGGTGACTTGAGAAGGTTATGAACTGGTGAATTGAAGAGAGATCGTGGAATTATGGATAATGTAGGAATCAATAGTCGATTCCCACATATCGCATCACTGTTCTATTTGGGGAACATAAATGGAGTGTGGATCGGAAGCAACGATAGTTTTGTGCTTTCAGCATGGTGGAGAGGGGGTTGACGTGCAAGATTAGCACTTCAACGCGCAAATTAGTATGTGAGAAATAATAGTGAATTCAAATTGTGTTTGAAACTTGTTACCTAAATTTGGCATCTTCTCTCTATACAATAGGGAGGGAATAACTAACTTGATATTGGTTAGAAGTGAATTGTGGAGAGTTTTTAGATGCACCTGAGGCTTTGATCTCTTGCACTCGCTAACAATGTGATTCTCGTGTGCTCAGAAGATTCTAGAAAAAGTGAAGTTCGTCCAGGTGGTCGGTCGGGGTCAATGTGGTCGTTTTAGAACATAAACATATAACTTTTAAATCCATCAGTTGTATCTTTGTTTTTGCTTATTACGTTTTGCTTTCGCCCTTTTAACACTGATTTTTTAAAAGAAAATATTTTCGAATGCCTGATTGACTTATTAGCCTGCATAAAAACTTATTTTATCTGAACATTTGTAAATAAGCAATTCAACTTATTAACAAATTAAAATATTAATGAGACTAAATGCATTTGCATTGACTTATTCAAATTTACCTATTAACATAAGTTAATTTACTTACAAACTTTTAAAAAAAAATTATAGCATGTAGTTTAGCCTTTTAACTAAATAGACTTATAAAAAGTATAAATTGTTTCTATTAAAAAAAAAAAGTCTGGTCTGACATAGGCTTGTGTAGCTTAGATTGTAGGTTTTATTAGTTGGTCAAAAATATTTTCACCCTTAGTAACAAGTACGAGTTAGTACAGATACTTGCATACTCATATGATATAATACGAGTGCTAACATTGATGCCCAAACAAATTTATAAAAATACAAATATAGGCATGAATACTTTGATCAAACTCTATCATTTGCAATCCCTATTTACATATAATTAACATTGATATTTCTATTTATAATTTATTCAAAATTTTAATATAGTCTAATAAACAATTTCAAAATTTTAACTTCAATTTATGAGTTGTTTAATAAGTTTTTTCAAAAATATAACTTCAATTTCAAAATTTTAAATACTTTTTTGTTTGGACACTTTATATATTATAATAATATGAGATGTTTAATATGGACACAGTTCGCTCACAGTGAACCCTCCTATTTTTAGTAAAAAATGACTTTTGGCAACAACGTAAAACCGCAACCTAAAGTGTAATAACTGTAGCCTAAGACTTTAGGGGATAGTTTATCAGACGTGGAATAAACGGTCATTGTCTATTTCTTTAGAGCACGGTTTTTTTAGTTTTACCCATGGATTCAAAATACCGTCGTCAGAAATATCAAAGTCCACGATTTTAGTTGTAGTTTTAGGCCGCGGTTTTCTAGTAACAACACAAAATAATCGTCCCCAAAAAATGAATATGCAACGGTTAGTAAAAAGCAACAAATGAAAATTATAGCTAGTTTATAGTTGCATTTAAAGAACCGTGCCTACAACTTAGGAAAAGTCTAAGGTTCTTAATAAGTAACACGTAAAAAACATTGCCTATGAATTGAAAAAAATGGTAAATCTTATAACTTCTATGCCGAAATTTAAACTTAAAGATATAATTAATTAAAACATATCAATATGAAGTATTAATAAGATGAAGTGTAATAATCACTTTGAAATGTAAAAACAAATATTTTCAAAATAAATTCAAACTCTTTGAAATGTAATAAACTAATTAGGTGGCTTATGTAACCCCATAAAACAAAAAATAATTTTTCATATTTGAATCAATGAAGGTCTTCATCATATTCATTGTATTGAGGATCATGAGAATCATCATCTTGAGAATCGTCAACTTGATCATATTGAAGATTGTCATCTTTATCATATTGAAGATCGTCATATTGATCATAATGAAGATCATCATCATCTTGAAGATCATCGTCATCTTAGAGATCGCCATCTTGTTCATCTTGAGGATCATCTTCATTTCTAACATGTAAATATGAAGAAAAAAATTTATAAATTAATATAAACACTAAAAAATCACCTTTTTAAAGCTAAAGACACCAAATAAGCAAATTTATTTCTATTCAAAGTGTAGTGATTTACTAAGCATGCATTAAACATAATTAACCAATCTTTTAAACATCATTAACCACAAATTTGTAAGTATTTCAAAGTATAGACATGATGTCCATTATATCTATTATAAATTTGCAAATTATTTTCAAATGTATATGAATATGTAAGGTCCTAACTATGTTAACCTAGTCTATTATGTTCATTGTATCAAAATAATAGAACTCTTAGATATACTGAATCTATAGACATTTTGATAAAATAAATGTTGATATATATTAAATCATTATCAGTACTCACTATCAATACTCATTTTCAAATTTCAATTCCTACACGAATGATAATACAAGGAAAAATAAAATCATACAACACTAATACAAGCTAAAATGAATCTATGTTCTTTCTATATAGTAAACAAGCTAAACTAGGATATAATAAACTAAGCATGATACATTAAACATGCTAATTCTAAGACCTTCTACTTTCACTTTCAGTTATGATTGCAACATGCCCATGCAAACTTTCCTTTGGTGCTCAACCTGATAACATAGCATATATACTCGGGATAATCAATAATTATCCATAGGAGTGTTGCACAAACTTTATATGTTTGATTTTTTGAGGCATCATGTGTCTACCCCTAATTCTCATAACTCTTTTAACTCCTCAATTAATGGATGAAGGTACACATCAATGTCATACCCTGGTGATTATGGCCCAGGAATCAACAATGACAACATTGTATATTAAGATTTCATGGACAACCAAGGAGGATAGTTGTATACTACCATTATGATAGGCCATGTACTGTGTGATAAGCTCATGGTCTGAAACGGATTGAAGTCGTCACTTGATAATCCAAGTATTATGTTACGAGGCTCAGAAGCAAAGTCATGATGAAGTTTATCAAAATCCTTTCATGCTTGTCCATCCGCAGGATGCCTTAATTTTCCATCCTTTGAGCGTCCTTCATGCCACCTCATTTCCTTTGCCGTCTTTGAACACATAAATAACCTTTGAAATCTTGGAATCAAAGGAAAATGTCTCAAAATCTTAGCAGGGACTTTATGATCATATTTCGCATGCTCAGAAGACTCACTCTCTACTTGAGAAAACTCCTTCCATCGTGAAGCCTTACAAATATTGTAATCGAGACCCAAATCACTAATCATCGTCTTTGTTTTGTTAAAAGATTCAGGAATATTTAATGATAGAATCGCTTCTTTCAATAATTATAAAAGTGAAGTGAATGATGCATTACTCCATCCATGCAGACACTTCAACAAGTAAAGTCAAATTATGAATGATAGAGTAGAGAAGCTTTCACATCCAGGGTATAGTTCTTGTTTGCCTCATTAATCAACTTGTAAAACTTTATCGCATCTTCATTGGGAGTTTTACTACTTTCCTCTACTTCAACCACAATTCTAGATGTGTCATACAATAAGCTACCGATGTCATCAAGTGAGCTCTCTTGCTCTTTTGTGTCCTTGTCAATTTTAATAGGCGATGGTATATCCTCTCCATAGTTTACCCAAACATTATATCCTTCTACAAAACCTGCAACTATTAAATGATCACGAACCATGTGTCTTCTTTTCCATTTACAATTTGCACAATGAGCACAAGGACAAGAAATTTCACGTTCTTGAGGTCTTCCTTTGTTATAGAAAAAATCTAAAAAAGACCTAACACATTTTCTATAATTCTTCCAATGTCTTGGAAGTTGTCCATATCTTTAATCTAATTTAATTATGATATTTTAACCATCCATCAACAAACACATAACAATAATAATAATAATAATAATAATAATAATAATAATAATAATAATAATAATAATAATAATAATAATAATAATAATAATAATAATAATAATAATAATAATAATAATAATAATAATAATAATAATAATAATAATAATAATAATAATAATAATAATAATAATAATAATAATAATAATAATAATAATAATAATAATAATAATAATAATAATAATAATAATAATAATAATAATAATAATAATAATAATAATAATAATAATAATAATAATAATAATAATAATAATAATAATAATAATAATAATAATAATAATAATAATAATAATAATAATAATAATAATAATAATAATAATAATAATAATAATAATAATAATAATAATAATAATAATAATAATAATAATAATAATAATAATAATAATAATAATAATAATAATAATAATAATAATAATAATAATAATAATAATAATAATAATAATAATAATAATAATAATAATAATAATAATAATAATAATAATAATAATAATAATAATAATAATAATAATAATAATAATAATAATAATAATAATAATAATAATAATAATAATAATAATAATAATAATAATAATAATAATAATAATAATAATAATAATAATAATAATAATAATAATAATAATAATAATAATAATAATAATAATAATAATAATAATAATAATAATAATAATAATAATAATAATAATAATAATAATAATAATAATAATAATAATAATAATAATAATAATAATAATAATAATAATAATAATAATAATAATAATAATAATAATAATAATAATAATAATAATAATAATAATAATAATAATAATAATAATAATAATAATAATAATAATAATAATAATAATAATAATAATAATAATAATAATAATAATAATAATAATAATAATAATAATAATAATAATAATAATAATAATAATAATAATAATAATAATAATAATAATAATAATAATAATAATAATAATAATAATAATAATAATAATAATAATAATAATAATAATAATAATAATAATAATAATAATAATAATAATAATAATAATAATAATAATAATAATAATAATAATAATAATAATAATAATAATAATAATAATAATAATAATAATAATAATAATAATAATAATAATAATAATAATAATAATAATAATAATAATAATAATAATAATAATAATAATAATAATAATAATAATAATAATAATAATAATAATAATAATAATAATAATAATAATAATAATAATAATAATAATAATAATAATAATAATAATAATAATAATAATAATAATAATAATAATAATAATAATAATAATAATAATAACAATAACAATAATAATAACAATAATAATAATAATAATAATAATAATAATAATAATAATAATAATAATAATAATAATAATAATAATAATAATAATAATAATAATAATAATAATAATAATAATAATAATAATAATAATAATAATAATAATAATAATAATAATAATAATACACTATTATTTACCAACAAACACAATATTAACACATAAAATAAATTAACTATCGACTAACACATTATTAATATATTATATAACTAACAACTTAATATTATTATCTACACAAAAAATAAATTATTTACCAATTAACACAGAGGAGCAGACTAAATCTTCGATAAAATATTAACTGAAGGTTGGATGAGGGGAGCACCAACACAAACACTAATTATACCTAAAAGTGAAATCAGAAGGAAAAATATCAATTCTCTAAATAAATTATCTACCAAAGTAGCAGAATGAATATTTGCCAAAGTAGCAGACCTCAATATTAAATTACAGCACACATATGTAAAAGTATAAAACAAAAACACTTATTTATTATCAAATTAAAATTTAAAATTAATTTGATAAAAATGATAAAATATAACTTCAATAAAAATGCATGATAATTTAATTTTGATAAGTCTCAATATTATACTACAAAAACACACTAAATTTTAGAGTTAATTTAATAAAAACAAATAGAAACCTTCATATAAATTAACGAAGGAAGATGCTAGGACAAATAAAAATGAATAAACTTTGTTGTCTAAGGGATATCCTATATAAAAGATAATATAAGTGTGGGGTAATGTTTTTTAAATATATTAAAGTAATTTTTTTATCTTGTGGGGGCAAGAGCCCCCCACACATCCTTTTGAAGAATTTTAACTTTGCAAGTAACTGCATGGTAATCTCAACCTTTGAATTGTTATGATTGCTTTTAATTACTTATTAGATTTTAAATTTTGTCCATTAAATTTTAATCCTAAAGTCCATAAAGTAAAGACTGTGACAGTGTTATTTTGTAACTGCAGGGGATCATTATCCAAAGTTACACACTAATTTCAACTATTAAAACATATAAAATTAAGAAACCAATTCCATAGAAACAAAAATTATATTTTTAAAAAAATGAATTTATTCTAAGTTATCAATTGAAAAGTAGTGGTTACATTCATTTGAACTAAGTAATGATTTAGGGTTGTGCAAATTACTACAAAATAATTGCAAAACTTATTTTAAAAAATGGAAAGAAAAAATAACAATAAAAATGAGCTATGTTCGCATTGTAAAATTCTTCATGAGAGTTCAAAAAATTATCTCAAAACCGTGTTTTACAAAAATAACTAGTTAAAACACCATGATTGAAAAGTGCAAGAAATCTATGAGAACTCTATTTTTTTTTTTAAAGAAAAATTTGGTTCACTTTCCTAAAGAGTATTTAAAGAAATTTATTACCGATATTAAGGTACTTTAATTAAAAATCAATTCAAGTCAAATACCAATTTCAATATTGATAACTCTTTTATTTGAAAATTGATTTTTTTTATAATAAATTAGTTTAGAATCGAATCTAAACTGAACTATAACTGGTTCAAAAAAATAGCTGATTTTTATTTAAATGGATTATAAAACAAAACTGAACCTTTAATATGGTTCACTTTTGTTTGATTCTTGCACAATGCACATCCATATTGTCAAAAAGACTTCATAATATCAAGACATTCAAGAAGTACCATCTGTTCGTAATCAAATAAGAAAAATAAATGAATTATTTATCTTAGGATTAAAATGACATTAAGACTATTGAAGTATAGCAACCATAAGAACATAGAGAAAATATATGAGCATGGAACACACAATTAATTCATTCATAAATTTTGTGTATCATTATTAAACAACAGAATCAATACAAGAATTGGAAAATAAAAGAGCAGTAGTAAATATAATTTTTTTAACACACATTTTATTTTCTTCTCCCACATGTAATATCCATCATACATTCTACAAGTTCAAAGTAAAAGACCAAGAAAGAATGCCATGTGTTAATGCAAGTTGACCAGTAGCACTAGAAAAACCAAACTTTTTGTAATGATTAGGACAATATCTTACCAAACTTTAGCTACTTAAGAAATGAAAGTAAATTAAATTGATAAATTAAGATATTTTTTGTGAACTTAAATGATTTGTAGGATTTAAAAAATTTATAATTGATTTAACTTGTTTTTATTTTAATGATAATTATTTGTAAAATATTAAAATTTGACCCCACATTTTATATTTTAATATTATAAAATAATAATCAGAACCATTGAAATTTGATAGTGTGTATTGGTTATATAGCTGTCGAAAACTAATTGTTAGTTCATTTACTGTCATGTCATTCTTATTCCAATGTAAATTATTTATAACTACCGTTATTATTAAAGAATTTAATACTAAAAAACCTGCACTAAAGATACTCTAAAATGTGAGATCATGATTCACTACTTTCTCATTGAAAGTTTTAGAAAAATAAAAATATTGAATATATTTATTTGGGGTTCAGACTATTTGGTTGGGATCCATTTTTTCCATTACTATAGTTTTTATGTATATAAAATTAATTAAATATTAATTATATGTCATATGTCTTAGAAATGTGTGTTATTTACGCACAAAACTATAGTAATGGAGAAAATGGAGAGACAAAAAAATGGAGTGGATCTCAACCCCAGACTATTATATCAAAACAGGTGTATTGTAATGGCCGAAAGTTGGTATTGCGGGAAAGGACCTAGGTTTTACATTTTGATTAAATTATTTTTTGTTATTTATATTAATCACATTAAATTAATTAAGTTAATATAATACAAATTAAAAAAAGTCTTCAAAGACAGAGGTTCCATCCTCATTTTATATAATAAGAAATAAGTTAAGTTATAATAGAAAATCATCGACGCGCATGAAAGCGCAGTTTTTATATATTTAAAGAACGGTTTTCTAGCCGTTGTCTATTTTTCCGTAGTGTAAAATAAAAACTGTTGTAGTGATTGTAATAAAATATTATTCTCTATTTTTTATAAGATTTATTTTTAT